AATTATTCTGATTTTGATTCATCGGTTTACGCATTGTGGGTAATTCCAAATTAGGTTTATAAAGGGAAAAGTTGTCATTAAATTCCGGACAGATATGACGAAGATATGCTACTTTAAAACGTTCTAATAAAAATTGAAAAGTTTTATGCTGTCGTGTAGATTTATCTCGCCATTCTACTTTTACCACCTGAAAATAACACGAACAAATCATTAATCATTTTTATCGCATTTTAACATTAAATAGATATCTATAAATATGTCTATAGAGAAGAAAATTACCTGAGTAACCATAAATTCAAGCAACGCTTCCAAAAATCGAACAGTTTCATTATCGAGAGGTTTTTCTCCACTTTGCGGTGGTAAGATAGGCCCGCCATCAACTTGACTGATAGGACATTGATTTGATCCATTATCATGAAAAGTACTTTGCCCGAGTTGCGTGTCATAAAATTCTCTCTTATCTTTCTCTTCAGAATTAGATGCTTTCGCCAATTTTTCTTTCTTGCCATCTGTCTTACGATCACATTTATAAGGCGATGCTTGATGCGGTGGAAATCCTGGCACCAAGCTGGCGAACATCTGATGTATATGTTCGGGAGCATTTTCACCAAGAGCTTGATACCACAAAATAAAGTACCTAAAACATCATAATGGTGGTATGCAAATAATAAATAAATATAACATACATAAAATCAAATAATATATCCTAAATAAATAGAACATATATAAAGTGACCAGTTGTCATACCTTACAGCTTGTCTACGAAGTTTCCAACTATTACCAGGATGCAAGAGCTTCTGCAAAATCCGTGCTAAACTATGACACTGCCATCGTCTGTTAAGCAGCTCAGGAAGAAGAGTTAAAACTTTCTCCAGAAGTTGCAATACTTGTTCTAACTCTTCCCTGTGTGCCTTATGCACTATAAAAAAATATAGATTAGTTTTTCCTATCTATTAATCATATTACATAAGAAATATTTATGGCAAATACTATGATTAACATGAAAATGATATTTGCACATAAGTATTCATGTAAATGTAATTTAACTCATAAGACGTTAGTAATGGAAGAAATAATTAATGCAAATCAAGCTAAAGTAATATGAAATATGACTTACCAATATGGAAGGAAAGCTCTGGCAGCAGAATGGGAAGAAATGAAAGAGATGATAATAAAATAACGAGTGAATATTATGATTAATACAAAATTTATTATAATTTTGAAGGCAATGATATTATTTTGTCAAGTTATATAATTATGCGATATATATTAAAGCATGGAAATTTTCAAAGTTATATAGCATTAGGACAGTTAGCTTTATTTAGTACATTATTATTTAGTACATTACACTGTAATATCAATTTAGTTTGCAACTTACCGCGTTGCCGAAGATTTGCTTCGGCGGACACGAAGCAATCGTAAAGAATGAAGTACACATGGCTGAAGTTACCCTCAAAAAAACCCTTTGCTTCGTCAGTGTCCACATTTTCTTTAATATAAAAATAATAATGCGTGAATTGCTATACGTTTATTATATAAAATATAAGATTCATAAATATATCATCATTAATTAAATATAAAACTTTCTCTAGCAATATGTCAAAAATAACATAAATACAAAAAATTAAGTTTTCCAGAAAAAAGAAAATTCTTTTTCAACTTGATAGAAAATTATTGACTAATCAATGATATCGTTAAAAAATATATATTCATAATATGATCCCATCAAATCTCTTTTTGTCAATTTTATTTCACAATCTTTTAAAAAACTATTCTCTTTGAATTGTGACGTTTTGATGATTTCTTATGAAATTTACTCTTGATGATTAATAAAACAATATTTACTTAACACTAGAAGGATCGAGATAGCCAATGGCTCCTCGCGAAATTCAAACTAATATAACTTTTTTCAATTTTGCTTCTACATAATATCCTTTTGTGACTTTTCATCATTTTTCATGTTCTTAATTTTAATAAAAAAATTTTCAATTATATAAAATGATTGAATTTTTATTTAATTGTGTACCTAGAGAGACCGTTGGAGCCAATTTGGTTCCTTTATCCGATTCTTCTAGTGTTAACTCATTCAAGATAATAACTAAAAAGAAATTTTTTTGTATTATGTCGCTTTTGAAATAAGAGAATGATATGTCGTATAGAAAAAAGTAGTGGAAATTCTATTACATCATAACTGGTTCTAAATATCTGTGCTTATATAGTAGAATCCTTTTCTTTTTCCTTATATGTATATAAGAAAGAAAGAGAAAGAAAGAAAGAGAGAAAAAATGTATAATATAGGAAGAAATGTACAATACATGTTAATAATACACGTTAATAATAATATTTCAAAATAATTTAATGTAGTGAAGTAGATAAATAGAATAGAAATATTAGAACAGAAATATATGTAAGATATCAATATGTATGGCATTAGACATATATAGGTACAAAATATCTAAAACTGTAGACTATTTTTATTAATATGTATGTATGCGTGTGCAGACATACATAAAACATGCAACAACAATGTAACTTTAGTTAGACATGGAGGCCACGAGTTGGTCAATGTGGTCAGGCGGTTTGATTAGATATTGACTACCTCTCTCATAACACTGCGAAACTACTATCTTATAACTGCTTGGATTTAATTCTTTTCCTTTTTTAACTAGGATATGCAACAAGTAAATGATGTAACGAAGTTTTGTCTATGTTAAATAAATAGCTGAGAAAGAAATA